GTTTCAGAAACGATTTCAAATAGATCTATTTCTGTTCTCCTGACATTTTAAACTTGCTTATGTAAAATTATTTCATCTTTCTTTATTGAAAGGTACTGAGCATTTCAAAAGTCATGATATCTCCCCTGGTGTGAAATGATTGTTGAATCAAGTTTAAAAATATGGAAGATGCTAACATAGAGAAATGGAATAGCTGGGCACAATTCTTTGTGGCATCCCTGCAGACAGCACCAGACAATGGCAGAGAATCTGCCCACAAAAGATAGTACCCATTTCTTGCCCAAATAGGCAGCATCAGAAAAACCTGGCTTATTTTTTTCCTGATAATCTACCCACATTTTAAAGTACACAAAATAGTTGTTTATCAGTGACTTAAAAAAGAAATTCTTCCAAGGTAAGTAACAAATTATATCAAGTGAAGAGGTAAGAAGGCCAATTTCTTTTATTTTTGCATCAGGAGTAAAACCTAGCATGAGGCTTATTGATGAAATTTGTGTGGGCTGACAATTTTCACACCCTGCTTACATGGGAATAATACATATTCCAGGTACTGAAATAATATGTATTACTGAGTTTCAAAGGCAAAGAAATGGTTCTGACAGAAAGAAATACAACCAGAGATAAACTTCTTTTGAAGAGGTTCATGGAAAGGATCCACTAGTAAGAGTCCCTCATAAGAACGATGGCTTGTATCCATTCAGTCCTATGAATGATAGCAAATAATGAATAAATAATGGATTATTTGCATTTAGAAGAAAAATGATCACTTATTTTATAATTTTATATATTTCTTTCTTTTTTTTCCCTCTAATAATGAGGGTTGAACTCAGGCTCTGACACATGCTAGGCGAATGCTGTACCACTGAGTTACATCCCCAGCCTTTTTAATTTTATTTGGAAACAGGGTCTCACTAAGTTACTCAGATTGGCCTCAAACTTGGGATTCTCTTGCCCCAGTCTGCCATGTAGCTGGGATTACATGTATTCCCCACCACACCTGGTTACTGTTGTACATTTCTAATTCTAAGTGTTAAAAACTGAGAAGTTTCCTTTCTATTATCTCAAACCTAAACTCCTATATCTGCTTTGCCTTTTGAGAGGTATGCAAACTGGAAATTACTTTTCAACATATTAAGATTATTATTGAGGTTTGATCCTAAGGGTAAATTTTCGTGCACAGTGGCATGATTTGGCTACTATATATACTACTATGTATACTAATAAAAGTCAATGACTGGACTCTGGAATGTATCTGAGGAATTTGTCCTAAAGCCAAAAACCTGAAAATGATTTTTTGTAGTCAAACTCATATCAGGCATACTGTAATTCCTAATGGAATCAGGAAAAGAAAAAAAAAGAATATCATAAAGAAAGAATTATTAAAAACAATTGCTTGAACTTATAGAACAATTTCATATTGCTTCCATATCTTATCACTCAAGGGTTGGTGAGGGACACTGCAAGAGCCATTTGTAATGACACGTCCACCTTCACACACACCTGTGAAGAAGTTAGGCCATCTCCACTGGCGTGCTTTGGAATTGTGCCTGATACTCAGCTGCCTCTAATGGGTAGGCTCTTTCTAGACTTATACTAATTTGGGGGTTCTGGACTCAATTTTATATATCAGACTTCACTGAGTTTAGTTTACTTTGATTCTCATTCTGCTTTACTTGACTGTTTTTATTTCCAATGAAATTGGTAGTCAATACAAATATACTTCTCAAATAATGTTTTACCCCACAAATCCAACTTCAAGAAAACATTGCTTAGAAAGAGATAGCCCTTAGATGATATCATACCATGTCATGAGCTTGTGATAGATTCTCTTGGAATCAGCCATGACTTGTTTGGCAGATATTGCTCTGTCTCCCCACAAATTCCAAATCCCCTGTCCCAGCCCTAAAAAGCCCACTTCAGTCCTCAGAGCACTGATTTGTGTTGTTAACCAGGCATCCCTATCCTCTAGTAACCGAGTGCAACATCCTTAGCCAAATGTGTGACTTTGGGCAAATTAGTCACTCTCTGGACTTCATTGTCCTCTTTTATAAAATAAAGATAGCAGTAGTATCTAATAGGGTAAGAATTAAAGAGACAAAATTGAAGGAATCCAGGAAAGGAAAGATTTGAAACAATGTCTGGCACATGGTAAGCACTAGCAAATGTCAACTATCATAATCCCATAGATCTTTGTATATCATCCTCTTATAATTAATAAAGATATTTTCAGCCTTTCTTTCCTCCCTTACTTTACAGGGCAAATCTCATTTCTGTCTTCTCAGTTGTTAAGCCCTTTTCTGCATTCAAGGGAATGGAGAAGAGAAGAATGGGAAGGAATGAAGAAAGACCAGACACGCTTAGCTTAGATAGGACCCAGAACAATACAAAAAAGAAGTGAATTTATCTGGAAGATAGGAAAGAGGGGTGAGAGGAGAGGGATCTAGAGGTCAGAGAGTTAGTCCATGGACTAGGGATTTAAGGAGAAAATTTATGTGAAAGAAGGCAAGGGGGAGACAAATGCATGAGGAGGAGGGGCGGGGGCATGAGATGCAAAGGAAAAGGAGAGGAGAGGAGGAGAGGAGTCAAAGAGAGGCCTTAGCGGGCATGGATGGAATTCTCCAGCTGGAGGCAATGCTGTTCACTCTGGTCATTCCAGATCTGCAGTAAAGGTTTCAATCCCCCTCCCTTCCTTCTTTTATTTCCCCTTTTGTTTCTTTTGATTTATTTAGGGTGAAAGAGATGAGTGTAGTGTCATTGTTCCTCCTGACGAGGAGCGCCCTGGCCACCACGTCTCAAAGTTCCCTCCACAGAGGCACATGCCACATGCTCCATAAACAATGTGAATGCTGAGGCCAAATTTATTGTTTTAGGTCTTTTTTAAAAAAAAATGTTCTGTAAAGATTATACTTCACTTTAATCCAGCAGCCCAATGGCAAACACCAGCTTACAGAGCACTTGAGACTTTTATTGTATTTGTTTTTTCCATATTTTTATTAATGCATTTTAGTTGTACATAATGGTGTGATTTGTTATATAACAGTATAATTTGGCCAGTATCATTCACCAGTATTTCCCCCTTCCTCAATCCTCTCTTCCCTCCCCCTGGTCCCTTTCCTCTACTCTACTGATCTCCCTTTGATTTTCGTATAGTATTTAAAATATTTTCAAACTCATGGTCTCATGTGTTTATCCCACAAGAATTTTGCACATGTACAGGCCAGAGAGGCTATGACTCATTTCATAAAGGGTGAAACACATGGCTGAGGGGTGTGCTAGTCCTCGAACTAATAAGATGCTGTGGCTTTTATATTCATTCTACTCCATCATAGTATCTCTTGAAGGTTTCCATGGGCATAGTGGGCCCATGTGATTTCTCTGCTTTTGGGGCTTCAGGAATTCCCTTTGCAGTTTTGTCAGCATTTCCTAACTTTATTTATGTCCTAATGGCTTCAGGTTTGTTTAGTCTCAGTGGCTAATTTTTAAAAGCTCCTTTTGGCAAGGGGCTAAGTTTCTTTCAGATGCACAGAGCCTGTCTTCTAGGCTACAGGTCTCCAATAAGTTTCTTTGCCCTGGTGCAGAAGCCTGACACTGGGAGTGCTTTAGTTTTCAGTTCTAGGAAGACTTGCCTTAGGTCATAGGACTGATGTGGGGATTAGAACCCACAACTCCGAATGTCCTCTCTGTGGTTTAGCCCTTCGAGCCATACTGCATTTAGGTTTAGTAATTAGCACTTGGAAAACCATTGAGGTCAATCCCATTGTGCCTGTGCAAAATTTGGGCTCATTTAATTGTCAAAACCTCTCACAGAACATCTCCATGTAGTTCAGTGTATTGAAAAATAAATTAAACTAATGCCATTATCCATATTCATTTAGAATAGGATGTAACAATATTATGGACAGAACAAAAATCTGTAATAGTCACATGTATGGTAAGGTGACATTCAGATGCATCTGTTTCCTCTCATAAAGTCACCTGCTGGAAGCCTATTGAGTAAATGTTAATGAATTTGGGTGTACCTTAGCTGCAAATGGATCAGATCTTCCTAATGTAACATTACAGCAACCTGGATTCACTTGGATTATTCTGCTGATTTAAATTAAATTGAACACCAAAGCCAGTAAAATGTATTAGAGAGGAATTAGTTGTGCTACAGAAACATTTTAAGGGGGTTCTTAGAACCCAAAGAAGAAGGAGAAGAGTAAGAATATCTCTTTATATCCTTCCAGCTCACAGGCTGAGATGCATATTTAGAGAGATGGACATGATGATTCTGTTGTGTGAGTGGAATTTGCCATGTGACCTCCATTAATGTTTAAAGATTGCTCCATGGTTAATCTTTAAAACATCATACTAAAAGCATGCCATCAAGTGCCTGCCAAATTCAGTTTTAAAATTCAGCTGGATTTTAGCTAGAGGTGAGGAAAAAAAAAACATTAAAGATTTTGTTGCTGTTGTTTTTACTGTTTCCAAAAAAAGTTAAAACTTGAATTTCTCTATTTGATCAATCATTTAAAAATAGTATGCAATTGCCTCTCAAGTCAAATGAAACTCCTAAGTGGAGTCTTAAAGCCCCTCCCCTAAATGTGCCTATCTACGTCTGGAATCATATGCTGTACTTAAATCTAATATATTTAATTAATTCCTACTCATGTCCATTAACATTTACAGCCCATTACTCTGTAGCTCTTCATAGGTGTCATCTCGCCATCATGAGAGTGTAAATATTCAAGAGTATAAAATTCATGGTTTCTGCTTTCAGTGTAGCTTCTCACAGCGATTTTTAAGATTTTTTTTTTCAGTTCTTATACCTCACAATACTTGCTGACTTATTAATCTTATTAGGAGTTATGCACAGGCAATTAGCAACAAGTAGGAAATATAATTTTGACATTTTTTTTCCATTAAGAAAATTTCTCTGGGAAAGTGACCTTAACATGTTATGCTTGGTAATATTGGTTCTCAGATTGTTTGTGAACAAAAATGATTTGTTTTCCAGATCTCAAAAAGTGTTCCTTTCTGTCCTTCCCTAATAGATACAAACTCACCAGTGGTATTTGAACCAAAGTCTTCTGTTTATCACTATCGTATTTTCAACGGGCTTTCCTTGCACTTGAGTCTTTTCCAAAATGAAGAATAACTTGATGCCTTCTCTTGAAGACCTCAACATGAGGTGGGAATTGCATGGTGTAGACCATAATGTTTGGCCCCCTACTGGATGGATTTCCAACACCTGAAAGAGCCCATCATCATTCCTTACTATAATCAGTAAGTAAGGAATTAATCTAACAATCTAATCAGCTGATTTTGTTTTATAGTTACTATTGATGAACAATACTTCTGAATCCTACATTAGCTTATGAACATGAAAAATATCATGGGATGGTTAACAGCGGGGGCATTTGTATTTTGGTCAGTGAAATAGTTTTCCACCTTTTTGTCTTTCGAAGAATGAATTTTTACTACAAACAAAATATCTCATGTAGAAAAGATACAAAAAACAAAACAAAACTGGAACAACTTGGGTGACGTATATATCAATACTATTAATAGAAATATGTGTGTATAGTATACACATATACATTTATGTAACATAGTATATACATATACATACTATATATATAGACAAACATATACTCATATATATAGTTTTCTAGTAGGTACATTACAAAATAAAAAGAACAGGTAAAATAACTTTAATGATAAATCTTAAGTCCAAATACTCAAGACATTATCATTTTAACATATAATCAATACAAAAAGTTAATGAGATATTTAATATTCTTTGTTTTCATTCTAAATCTTCAAAATCTACTTTTATATTTGTGACACATTTGAATTCAGACTAGCCACATTCAATTGCTCCATAGCTCCGTAGTGGCTATCATATGAAACTGTGTAGGTTTAAATATACCATAAATAGGGGTTAAGACCACTAGGACTCACTGGATTTAAATCTTCAGTCTCTATCCTCTTTCCATAGGCTAGTTAATTAAACTTTCCAAGACTCGGTTTCTTAATATGTAAAAACAGGGGTAAAAGCTGGTCCTACCTCTGTAAGTTGTCATGAGGGTTAAATTAATTCAAACTATTTGACAAATAATGAATATGTTGCATTTGAGGATTCAAGGGGTACCTTATGGCTGAGAAAATTGCCTGAGCCTAAAAGAGCATTTGAAGAAATGCATGATACCGAAGTTGTATTTCCATGTTATCGTATTTCATTGCCCTGTCATCTAAGTGTGCCATTCACAGTGCTTACTTATTATTGCTGTTTTGAGCTCATTCTCTGTATAGGGTATGATCTTGCCTTCTTTGGGGAGTAGTCTTTCCTCACTTTAGGTGCTCTGTTTACTCTTGCTTGGTTAGCCAAAGGCTTAAATTAAACTAAGATGTAAAAACTAAGACTGGCTTGAGCTATTTGGAGAGTCTAGGCTTTTTCTTTGAAATAAAATAACTTAGATGGATAAAAAACAGTGATTTTCTGTAATCTTATTGGCTGTAAATACTCAAAAATACTGAAGTTATTTATGTTCGCATTTGTGCAACTGTTCTGCTAGATCCAGAGGAAAACATGACCCATTTTGCTAGCACAAACTATGACTACAAAAAGTGGACTGGCAGTTCTTGTTTTCTTTAGAATTCAACATATGATGTTTTGGAGACCATATCGAAAGTCACAATAGTCACATAGCTGCCAACCACCTATCAGAAGCGCCAGTCCACATTGTTCACAGGAAACAGTAAAGACAAGCAAAAATGTTAGTGCAATCAACATTGTAATTGCTAACCAAAGGGACAATACTAATTCATGACCACAACAGTCTTTGAAGCTAGCCAGAGACAAAAAGACAAAAGAAACAAAACAAAACAAAAACCTAAGAGTTTATTCAGGCTGGCTAAGGCCCATAGAGCTATCAAAGGACAACCAAAGCCCACAATTACTATTCAGGTCCTGTGGAGACCGGGATATGTAGAGTGTGCTGTTCAAAGGTGCTGCTTTCTGTCTGCTACAGAATTTCACAGCTCCTTTTAGGCCACAGGGTGTTGTGCAAAAATGATCACTGACATTATTTCAGTTGGTAAGAAACAGCTAAAAGGTCCTGGTAGATATTTAAGGAGCTTGAGAGTTTTCTTCAATTCCCTAAATTACATCAAAAATATTAAGGGCTAGATACGTTAACTGGTTGTTCGAAGTCTGGATACAACTTTCTAAGGATGTCCAGGACTCAAAGACAGATCTACTCTCCTGGCCTCCTATGCATTAGTCTTTCTAGCTTCCTTGCTACTCTCCTTGAATTTTTCCGGCAAGAATATCTTTCTCCTCCTTATTTTAGCTGGCATCCTAAGAAGGGGAGAAAACCCTAAAACAATATTAACAAAGAATTCATTCTTTAGAGAATGTCCCAGACAGAGAAATCCATTCAGTCATTCTCCTGGGCCTTGATTTATAGTGGGTGATCTTGTGATTCAGTACTCCTCACCTGTTGGCAACCTCACCAGAGGTATAGTTTAGATTTTCTATACTGTACGGTCTAGTTCTGGACTGTTCTGAATTAGCATACTGAACTTCACGCAAGTCCTATGAGAGTTCCTAAAATTCAAACCAGAATGTATCTCAGGAACTAAGAAAATGTAAGTCATTTAAAATACTTGTTTATATTGAGAAATTTTTCAAGTATAGAAATTTTCTGTGTTTCCACCAGATTTAAGTGTACCCTATGCACAGAGAGGATAAGTTCCTGAATTCACAGCTAGTGTAAAAATTAATTTGTTTCTGAACAATAGTTTATTCTCACAAGTACTAAGTCTGTAGGCAGCTGTGGAATAGTAACTAAAAGTTCTGGATTTTGAATTATAAGAACTGAGGTTAAGACTGACTAGTCACTTATTAGCAAACTCCATCTAAAATGTCTATGATTAGGATTAACTAAAATAACTTATGTATGAGCATCATGCAAACTATAGAACTTTGCACAAATGTACGGTTTTAGCATTTTGCTCAAAATCTAATACATATTTACACTTATATGTTGAAATAATTCATATTTATATAACGTATTTCCTATACGATAAAAGATTATGTCCAGATTGGAAATGTTTATTAATAAGCTTCCTAATTTTTGTTACCCATTTATCGTAACAAGACAGTTACCTTATATATGACTTGAAATTTGCCTCAAATATTCAACTGACAGTGACTATAGCTATCAGATCCACTGTTTATGGTGCAAAAATCAAACTAAACATTTATAAAAATTTCTGCAGAAGATTCCAGCTAATGAAAGCACCATTTGTGGTGTGCTAAAACATGCGCACACATAGGTATTGCCCCATTTATCAGACATGAGAGCTAATTACCTCATACACCACTATATCTCTTCCACTCTCTGCATTTCAATTCCCAATATTAACACATAGGTGGTCAAGCTGACCATCGAATAGCCTGCATGAGCATGAATGCATTAAATAATTTAATGTTGGAAGAGTTTATTAAACTGCCACATTCTAATCAGCATGCGTACCTGCCTTCATTAATTTTGCACTGGTCCATGGTGTGTCTCTACAGCCAACACGGAGAGCACTAATGTTAATAGGAGCTCTTAACAAACAGGACCAGTTAATCAAGGAAAATTTACTATTAACCACATGACCATGCATACTGCAATCTAATTACAATCAGATTTAACCCTCACCCTGCCACACCCATTTAGACATCTTTCTTATTATTTGTCAATGAAACTACAGAAAATAGGATATCATTATTTCATTACAGTGAGAGAGATATTTGCATCTGCACATGATTATGAACATGAGAGGGCTTTCTGCATGGTACAGTCCCGTGTTGGAGAGATTTAATTTCTTTAGCTTTAAAGATCATTGTGAAGATGTCCCTGTTTCTGTCTCCTAAATATTTTTAATTTTCTGAAAATATCTGATTACAAAAGAGTTTCTCCAAATGAACACTAATACTTTAAATCAGTTCAGGTGTCCTTCGGTATTTGGCAAGTTACAGTCACTGCTACGTAAATGGTTGTGGATATAATCCTGATCATTTGGTTTGACTGTTGAACCAAATAATCTCAGATAGTACTGTTAAATCTGATAAGACAGGAGACCCAGCATTTAACCACATTTAGTTATTTCAGTATACTAGAAAAACACCTGCCATGATTGACTGGTTGGCATAGTTAGAAGAAGTACATAAAAGCCAAAAGAAAATTTGACCAGTTTTTGTTTGTTTTTGCTTTTTCAAGTTGTGTTGGTGCCTGTTTTATTGCTTTGGGTTATGTAAGTTTGTTTTGATGATGGATTTCTGTTCTGGTGATTATGCCAACTGCAGTGAGGGAGTTGCGACTTTTTGAATTAGAGCAAGGAAGAGAACTTTGAGAATTGGAAATGTCAATGTTGGTATTTATGAATTTTCAAAGAAAGAAGTTGAAACACTTTTTTGTCAATATTTGGACTTATGATCACCTTGCTTCCTGGCATATTGGACCACACTGAAGGAACTAAAGAAACATCCCAAGAATTTGCTAAGAATTTCTATTTGACAACTGAAAGGACTTTTAAAAATACTTTCTTGAAAGACTCAAATTATCCTGCTTTAGACATTTCTCTTTGTTGGGGCTGATAAAGACTGTCTCCTTATGGTATATTTTATTTTATTATAGACCAAATTATCCTGCTTTAATTACACAGACAATGCCAAGTGTTAACAATGAGATCAGATGAACTATGTGTTTTTAGAGAGACAGTTTGGGTAGAGAATTTTTTTCTGAAATCATAGCACAGTGATTCTTCATCCATATTATATTTCTCTCCTGTGATTCATGAATTTATATCTGAGTTTTATAATTTTACTTGTTAGAAAGTAGCCATAATAACTAAGTTTTCTCCACACCTTATGTTGCACTTTTACCTGTTGGGATAGCAACACTATGAAACAGAGTTCATTTGCTAGTCTTCTCTTTACAGATGAATGGTCCACAGGAACCTCCAACTTGAATGTAGTCTTGGAAGAACAGATAGAATGTGATTATAATATACAAAATTGAATGCAAATAGTAAAAAACCTGTATATACTTTGAGGTAATGGTGAATTCTTAATTTCTCTAATTCCACTCTGAGGAGTAAGCAGACCAAGGTTGGAGCTGGCAGGCATGGGTGTATAAGCTACAGACCACTGGGGGGAAATAGGATGGGGATCCTGAAGGACTCAGGCCATGCTTCTCTAAGGGTTCTGACTTAAGAAGAGGCTGAAGAACATTCTCATGATACTATATAAATCCTAAGAAATTATGCAGTAATATTGGTGTCAAAGAAAGAAAAATCATTTTGAATTAAATAAAAAATAATAGCTAACTTGAATGGTATAAAGTTTTCCAAAATGACTGACAAAGTATATTAATAAATCTAAATGGAGACTGGGGCTTCATATTTAAGGTACCTTTTCTTGGGGGGGGGGGCTACCAGGGATTGAAGTCAGGATACTCAAATACTGAGAAACATCTCTAGCCCCTTTTTTGTATTTTATTTAGAGAGAAGGTCTCATTGAGTTGCTTAGCTCCTCACTGTTGCTGAGGCTAGCTTTGAGCTTGCAATCCTCCTGCTTCAGCCTCCTGAGCCACTGGGATTATAGGCATGTGCCACTGTGTCCAGCGAGGTACCTTTTCTTTGTTTTGCGAATATACTGTCATCTTGATGTTTTGACCAAGACCTGTCTGGGGACATGTCTGTCTAGGCAAGCTATAAGTTAGGCAGAAAATAATTGTGTAAATAGTTGGGAGATTTAAATTTGTTTCTAGCTCTGCTTAATTCCCCCATCTGTAAAGAGGGAGTGGTGGACTAACTCATCTTCAGGAACTTCTGAACCTGTTAAATTTAAGTGTATGAAGTAATAGAATTTAGGAGACAATACAGGAAACAATTTTCTGCAAAAGAGCAGGAACCTTAGATGAGCCTTAAAATTACATGTTTTTTTTTAAAAAAAATGTTGTCCAATTCCCAGTCTCCTGCTTTTCTTCAATTCCTTACAAAATGTACAAAGTCCACACCGAGGGATGATAATGTAATAGTACTCTATATGACTCATAAATATAATTTAGTTTGGAAATGTCATATGATAATCCCACCTAAAACCCTATTCATCAAAGGCCTGAGCTGTCAGGTTGTGATGGTGCTTTGATTATTTTACACATTATTTACACAAGAAAGAGCCAAAAGGCATATTCCACACGTGATTTAAGAAAGAAAAAGGGCTCTTTAAAAAGAAGTTTATCCCTTTCACAAATATGGTTAATTCTGAAAATGTGAAAGAATGGGTATGGTAAGCTGGCTGGGTGATGGTAAACATGTGCACCAACTGTACCATACATACATGTAGACACACAAATACCCACATACGAACATACATTACCATTGAACATGAGAAAACATTCTGATGACATATAAAAGCAAGAAATATGAACAAAATAAAATAACATTCGCCCAAAGTAGTATGGAAAGTGTTTGGCAACCAAGATTGACAACTGTAAGTTGATATGACATTTGCTTTAATAACCCCAGAGGGTTGGGGCCAGGAGCCAGGAAAGTGGAGGCAGCCACAGAGAGATGCTTTGGTGAGCTCAATGTGGGGTTTACAGCCTCACCTGCCATCCAGGAAGGGCAAGACTCAACAGGAAACACGTTCAACCTCCCCTAAGTGGGGAACCTGTGTTTCCCAGGCGGGGGCGGGGGGAAGGTATGTCCAAGAGGGCAAGGAACACCCTGTTCCTTATAGATCTCTGATCTGCTGCATTCTCTGTGTTAACCAAAGTAGCCCAATATGCTGTATGCAATTCTTCTGACTCACAGGAAAAAGAGAGGTGAAGGAAAGAAATTTCAATATCTCGAATCCCATAAATGGAAACTACAAACAAATAAGCAAACAAACAACAACAAAAATCACTTTCATTGTTTTCCCTGCATCTTCCTTTCCTCTTTAGTAACTGCAATTCATGATGATCTTTCTCTAGAGAATAGATAAGCAGTTTCAGGTGGAGCCCAGAATCACACTTGTCCTTGGGTCAAACTTTGCTGGGGTAACACAGCAGGAAATATAGACTAGTTCCTGTACTGTGTAACTAGTCTGACAGTGTTCCAGTTGTTTAGGATATTTCTGGGCCCCCAAAGAAGAAGAGCTACCATATGAGGTTGACTTCGCAAAGGGGAAACTTTTAAAAATTCTACTGCAAATCTATGAAGATCCAACAAACAATATTTTTCACGCTATTCATATTGCTACCTTAGGAGAAGCAAGGTTGGTTCAAATATCCATGCAAGATGTAGGATAAGATTAAGTTCTCTGCTTAAAAACTGGCTCCAAAATACTAAAAAGAAAACTGCAAACTGGATTTTAGTAAATTTATGCAGTGACTTCATGATGTGGCATCATGCCAATTTAATTAATTGTTAATAGTATTCACTGCATTTAAAAATAATTTGTTATTTTCTTACTTTGTAAAAGTTTCAATGGTATTATGAGAACTCACATAACAAATTGTGAATAAAGCGAGTCACAACTTATAGCCAAATAATTTTTTAAAAAAATTTACAAACATCATTAAAACATCCCAATACTAGGTTTATTAAATATAGGTCATGCATGTATTTTTAAAAAGTACTGATATGTAATGAGGCAGGGCCTCCAAGTGTAAGAGGGTCTGAGGCAAAGGGGGATATGAAAAAGATAAAAACAAGAAAAAAAAAACCCTGGGTGAAGATCAACTGTAAAACAGCTTTATTTAAAGCAGCTTTACTGAAGGGACTGATGTTTTAAGGAACTATTTCTGGGAGAATTCTCTCAAGGTGACAAAGCGGCATTCTTTATTCTCAAGCACTCTCAATTGAGGGCATCAAGCTGGTCTTGAATATCTGCAGTGATGGCAGATGATTATCTGAAGCCCTTGCAGCAGGGCGGCTCTCCCTGCTGGCTTGAAACAGCTCTTGGACACCCGGCACTACCTGGAACACAGTTGTTAACAGTAATGATACACTAGACGGGGGCTCCCTTTGACTTTCTAGATTCTTCACCTGAGCTTTTGTAAGCTTGCTCCACTTTCACAGAAAGCTGTGCAGCTGCATTTCTCTCTCTCTCTCTCTCTCTCTCTCGCACTGCTCTGCCTGTCTGGAAGGCAATGCCGTTCTCTCTTTTCCCTAGGGCTGGACACGTCGGCAGCATGAAGGAGACATTCCCCAAATCAACATTAGATCATTTCCTAGAGGAACCGCCTCAACTGGCAGGAGCTTTCCCCTTTTAATTTGGATTTCATCTTCACCCTAGCAATCTGGGATAAAGAGTTGGGTAATCTTTGTTTACCTCAGACTAGCAAAGAAAAGGAAGATGGTGTTCCTGAGCCCAGACCATGGTATCCATCTTGATCCTGAGACAGAAAGCTAAAGTGAGGATGGTATTTTCTTAAACACTCACTAGGAGCCACCACACAGTTGGATCGTTCTGAATTGTATTATGTATCAGGCTGGAGTTGTTCATCTGGATGGTACCAAGTGGATAACTGTGATTCACATTGTTGCCTCTTTGGAGGGTACAACCCTCTCTACTTTTCCCCCTTATCCTCTCCCCTCAGCTCCTCTTCTTTTCTCTCCAATCTTTCCTTCTACTTTGACTTGCTTTGGGGCAAACTGCTAATAGAAATCTTTGTCTCTCTCTCTCTCTCAGGGTCTACTTTCTTCTAGAAAAGACTCATTCTTATAAAAATCATGATAGTTTGACAAGCTGAGGGCAATTACCTGATCAATATCAGTCAGAATGAGAAGCCCATGATGGATGCCCCTCTGGAGTGAAAGAAAAGCAGCAGAGACATATTAAATTAAGCCAGTCTCATTTGGCCCATCACGAGAAGATACTGAAGCAAGGTAATTTGACCTTTAAAAAAAAAAAATTGAGAGATCTGCTTCATCCTAGTATGAAGAAAGGTCCCAGACAGGGTAATTAGAGAATTTCAATAATTGCTGGTTTTGCAACAAAGGATTTTTCTCAAGTCCCTTTGGATCTCAAACTGCACATTAAGAAAAATTAGCAAGCCCATTTCTTCAGTTCCAATTGAGTAGGTGGGGATATTCCATGGGCAAAAGAAAAAATGGGAAATGAGCCCTCGTCAACTCCTCAGACACCATAAGTCTTAACCCACTCTTTTCAAGTTGACAGGTTAATAAATAGTTTAATTATACTTTTAGCTTGGTACTTCTTCTGAAATCAAGCTGTTTCTTTAGCTACAAAGGCAATAGATCTCAGGTATTTAGCTATCATTACATTTCATTGGCTCAAACCATCACAAACAACAACATGCACATTCAGAGGAGTTCACATACCCTCAGATCCTCAAACAGGTATGAAAGGTGAGCTCTCCCTGGGAACTGTTCATAACCCTTGGTGCTTAGACAGTTATAGAAATGAGCAACCTTTTAAATCCTTATTCAAATCATTTTCCTTCCCCTGTAAAAATATCTTAAAACATGTTTTCCCAACTCTTTCTTCTTCTGATCCAAAGATCAGTAGCCCTGAAAAACACCAAACAAAAACACATCAAAACTAAACATTTGGGGCATTCTGGCATAGAAAGCTCGCTCTATAGCATCCAAGAGTCTGAGGGACTTTTAAGAGGCTGTCTTTCTGTTCTGTAGTCTCACAAAGTTTTAAATGCATAAAAATTACCTGGACAGCATAATTTATATGCCTAGGTAGGCCCCAAGAATCCACGTTTTTGTGAATGTCCTCAGGTGACACTATGCTGGTGGTCCGTGGACTACCTGTTAGAAACACAACCTCAAGTTCTCCCTTCCATCAGCCTTCTGGCAGTGTAGAAAGTACACTGGCTTAAAGTGATGAGAATCAATCACTTTTTGCAAAAGCTACCATGGAAATGGACTCATTCAATCAAGTAACACAGTCTAAGGCTTTGATGTTCTGTCACTTTCCTATTAAGAACTGCCACTTCTCTTTCTCCAGCTAGCAATCCCTTTGTTTTGTTTCAAGTCTGTTTTGCTTAAAGGTATTCCACTTATAAAAGTGTTCTTAGGGACAACTATGAGTTTTTATTTTCAACATTTGCCAGCAAGTATGTATGCCTCTCCATTGACAAGAGCTGACTTCAATAACCCAGCCTTCCCCCCAAGTGTAAGGCACTTTCTTGCGTGGAAAAAGATACATTTGTAAATTACTTGGTTTCCTTCAGAGTAAAAGCCAACATTCCTGTAATGTCATTGCCTCTATTCTGCCTCTTGCTCAATCTTCCCAGATACCCTGGCCTCTTTGTAACTCCTCAAGAATGCAAGGTACTCTCCCAATTCTGGAGCTGTATGTATTCCAGACAGTTTCTCTGTTTAGGATCACCTTAGCACGATCTGTATTTTTCTGCCCTCTCCCCACCATAGTGTGTATACCTTCTAGCATACTGTTTAATCTTCTTTAAAAATAATATTTAATTTTGGTGCCCCATTCAGATTATAAAGTCCACAAACGTCAGAATTTTTACCTTTAGACTGATAGAGGTAACCAGAACAGCGTCTGGCACGTGGATGAAAAGAGTAAGTCTAATCACCTATGGTAGTTTCCTCTTCATAAGCATTGGTGGTTTTAGTCAGCTTTTTCACCACTATGACTAAAAGATCTAACTACAACAATTGTAGAGGAGGAAAAGTTTATTTGGAGGCTCACAGTTTCAGTGGTCTCAGTCCATAGACAGCCGGGTCCATTCCCTGGGGCTCAAGATGAGGCTGAATATCATGGTGGGAGAGTGTGGCACAGGGAGGCAGTGCATGATGATCAGAAAGTGGAGAGAAAGAAACTTCATTCACCAAATAAAAATATATACCTCATGGGTCTCCCAGTGAACCACTTCCTCTAGCCACACCCCACTTGCCTCTAGTTACCACTCAGTTAATCCCATCAGGGATTAATTCACTAATTGAGTCAAGGCTATAGTCCAAATCATTTTTCCTCCAAACCTTGTGTTGTGTCAGAGGTGAGCTTTCTGGGGGACACCTCACATGCAGTTCATAACAATTGCATCAACATATAAGAAAGATTAGAAGAAGCAAGGGTTGTAAGGTGTGGACATTCACATAATATTCAGATTCACATAATATTCAGTTTCATGTAAGTTTATATATGAGTCAGAAACTACATTTGATAAATAGTAATTCTAAGTGGGTCTTAAGTTATACTACAAAGATAATTAACTGCTCAGGCTACTTCTCTATTCAACTGTTTCAAATTCTTTGACATAAATATTGGTTGCTGCTATAACCATCGAGGACAGGGTGATCAGAACAAGGAGCCAACTTTAGGGAAAAAAATTGAATGTTGAATGAATGAAAGCCATCATATCATTATCCAAATGGTTTTGAACATATATTGTTAAGAACTTGATGTTACCTTGGCATTTGGACACACTGTTATTGGTGTTTATTTTTTCCAAATATATAGGAATAGCTATTTTTATGAAGAACTCACAATGTGTTAAGCATGAGGTTAAGTGCTCCATAAACATCATCTCCCTATTTCTTCAAAACAGCCCTATTAAATGTAGTGTCAGGATTCATTGGCTTTCAAGTGACAAAAATTCCGACTTAAACTGTTTTTAATACCAAAATAATGAAACAAAAAAAATTTATGTTGTTCATGTACCTGAAAAGTCAAAAGAAGGAAATGTATTGCTACATGTTCAAATGATAAAAATAACATAAGGAAAATAAAAATATTGTATTAATTTAAAAAACAGGTCAAACAATTATTCCAGATTTATATTCATAAATTATAATCAGTTTTAAACCATATCTATCTCACCATATTACAAATATTGCAGAAAAAAATATTTTTTCAGTATGTATTATCTTTCAATTTTTTTCTCATAAAACTTCCTGAAATTTCTAAGTTACATTTTGAAATTTAAAAATTGAAATTTTTTGACATCTCCATCTAATATTTCTCTATATGCCATAATATTTTATTTTATTTATTATTTATTTTATTTTATTTTATTTTTTAGTTGTAAATAGACACAATACCTTTATTTTATTTGCGTATTTTTATATGGTGTCAGGGATCAAACTCAGTGCCTCATGCATGCTAGGCATGCGCTCTGCCCACTGAGCCACAACCCCGGCCCCCCCATAATATTTTAAATTGAGGGAAATATTTTCCACATAAATGTTGAGATATCAGTAACCTGAGAGCATATTCTGTGAAATAGAAAATACTCTCAAATCTATTTTTTATATTGAAATATGTAAATAGTTCAGGCCAAATATTTTCACAGGTACTGTCTTTTAAGGCCTTTCTTTGACAAATATTTTTACAAGGCAAAACTCGTCAAATAAGTTTTCTCTTTTTATGTTTCTATTGAGAGTTTTGCTAGATATAGATGCTATAAAATCTTAAATTGTCTCAATTTGATTCAATTCCAGTATATAATATTGTTTATTCAATTAAAAGGAGGAATTTTATCAAAAGGTTCTTCCCACAATTTGAGCTATTCTATAATTATAAAATTTTACTTTCATGATTTTGTTTATTCAGTTCCTCCTTTGCTTTTGTAGGGATAAATTTCATCACTTTGTATACACTTTGTGTTCATAATTGCATTTTGCTAAAGGATTCAAAAGATGGAGATGTTTGCATCTCCATTTGTTTAATAATTTGATTAAAGTTTTTCAAATAATTTTGATCAAAATACAACCAAAATTTGGGGTCACTTATAAAAAATGTACAATATCTTAATGGGACAAGAAGATTAATTTTAAAAGCAGTTTTTCAAAGGTACAAATATTTATAAATCCCATTTGATGATGGATAGCAAAGACGGAAAGCTTATATTGCCATGTTGAAGTAATTTTTTCTTGTGTTCATTATTAGTGTTGTCACGTGTTGTTGCTCAGCAACACTTCTAGTTCCCTGATGAAATATCTCAATCCATTTGGACATAATTGTGAATTAAGTGTATATCACAATCAATTTCAAGTACCTATATACTACAGAAGCTTTTTAATTCAGTAAAAACTGTTTTTACCATAGCATTGTTCCTCTCAATTTTTATTTTTATTATCATAGCAAGACAAATAATTATGGCTAATGTTTTACTTAACTGATTTCACAATAGCATTTGCAGTAACTTCAGGTGCTTCATTTACAACAAAGTGAAATTACAAAACTTTCCTTTGATTCAATGAGTCATATAAAAAAATCAAATAATTATTGGAATGAATTGATTTTCTACTTGACACTGGTAGGAAACTAACATGACTTCTTCAGTTAATGAGCTCAACATGTTAACAGCTAATGCTTTACTTTCAACTCATGTAAAAACAAAACAAAGCAAAAAGGACTTGGAATTAAAAACAAACACAACTAATTTAATACAACAATCCTTTGATCTAAATGAAAAGTCATGGTTCAGAGAGCGATTTGTAAACATACATTCTGCAGCTGCATCAATTAAATTATCTTTTGGGGATCAGGCTTTAAAATAAGCACTAGCTTTTGAAATAGATATTGATGCTTCATCAGCAGATTTATGCATTCTGATTTTCACATGTCTGTGATATCATCTGTGGTCCCTAAAGTAAGAAGTAAATGTTGATAAGCCTATGGGCAAGTTAAACATCAACATCAATATGAGAATGACAAATCAGCACTTTGACTTCTATGTAGTAGATCATTTTTAGTTCATTGCCTTTGAAATACTTTATTTCAAAAATTGAAAGCAAAGGTATCGTGAATTAAGTATATAAATAGTTGTCAGTCTACATTAAGTCATAACCAAACCTAAGTGTGTTCAGCCTATACATTTTACACTCTATGGAAAGACTGTGCCATCTTGCTTCTGCATAAATTTCACATGCATTGAAATCATATTTTTGCTGATTTCCCACTGGCATTAACTAGCAACCTGGTGGCTTTATGAATCTCACAGCTTGGTGCTCTAGTACAACAAATGCTTGACAGAAGTGGCAGGATGATATTTCCTCCAGTTCCACTTAAAGAGAGAAGAGTTCGCTATCCCAGCCATTTGCTTGCAAGCCTTCTGCACTCTTCCCTGAAAGGGAGGTCTTGGTGACACCCTATTGGGAAATAGGAGGGATAGATTGTTCTTGGTCATTTTCATACTTTATTACATGACAAAGTGAAAACTCAGCTCATTGCATATGTTTCTCACACACACTGCTAGAT